TCAGGTCACACGATTGCTGTCATAGCTTCTGATTGGCTATCAAAGTGATCAGTCACTGTGAAGCCCCCCCCCCTTGTTTTTTTTTCTCTCTGAATGGAGGAGAGGGATACATTGTATCTCTTTCTCTCTCTCCTTCCATAGAGAAAAAAAACAACTCTGTGAAAAAAAAAAGATACATAAATACATAAATATTAAAAAAAAAAAATAAAAATGTAAAGAGAAAATACCTAGATCAAGGGTTGATCTAGTTCAGTGCCAGACTTAGTGTTTGGGTCAAAGTCAGGGTCAAAGGTCAGTTTTTGTTTTTTTTTTTAATTGGTATCAGTGTCTGTGTGATTTAGGTAAAAAAAAAGTGCACTATTGTTTCTGGGCTGTACTACGGGTACAAACAACAAATAACATACACATATATGGTATCACTGAAATCGTCAAAAGCTGGAAAATGTATTTTGGGTTGTTCTTTGGTGGTAGGTTATGGTAGTAACAAGAAACACACAGCTAAATAAAAAAAATGATTTTTTTTTTTTACTATTTTGGGCCAGTTTTCCTTTGATAATGAAACAAATTAGGAGACACCCATTACCATTTACCACCAAATGAAAGCCCAATTTGTCCTGAAAAAAAACAAGGTATAATTCACCTGGAAGTAGTTGTGATGATATGTACAGTTTTACTAACACATGTCAAAGTTGTAACATTTTACTTCGGCTTTAAGATTTGTTTTACCCTTAGGTGTGAAGGGGTTAATATTAGTATATATTTGAATGGGGAATATCATACCAAATAAATCAAGGTCATACATGACTGTGTTAGCACATACGAAAGGAGAGAAAGCAGTCTCCTCCCTCCTGGGTGACAAAGGTACACTGTGATGGTATCCCTAGATACAAAATATAATTCTGAATTATAGTCTGTCATTCCTTAGAATACCAACTGTACGTATTCGAAGTTATTAATATTAGTATAAAACTGTATTTAGGAACTGGCCATAAACGTAGTGGCCTCCCAACACCCATGCCTTAAACCCGATTATTGGTCAGTTGGTTTCTGTCTGCACCCCCTTGTGAACACAGAAAAGGGACTGTCAGGAGTTGGTAAGGAAGCTCTCGTTTTACCATCAACCAAGGAACACCCAAGAGAGCAACGGCAACATTTTTGCTCGGACAATTGGACTCTGTTAAAACCAAAAGAATTTGCAAGTATTCTTCCTTCTTAACTCCTTGCTTTTATTTCTCTGTTGCTTTATTGTTCTCTTTATGTCTGTGTAACATCCCTTTCTGTATATATTTTAATTGCACCATTTGACCTTTTTAATTAATAAACCCTAATTTGAAAAGTCTTAAAATTATCTCTAAGGTTTTTATTGCAAACTAAAGAATCCCTGTCTCTTGAAGAGCGCTGCTGTATATAATCCTCTGAATATACCTGTCTGTGGTGACAGTGTGTGTTACAGATGTTTATTGTTCACATTTGTTCTTGCTAACATTGCGAAGGGTTGATAGTCTGGTGGCAGTTTGGAGTTTGAAGGGTTAATCGTGTAATTAACCTAACCCAGTGACAATCACTCTCAGGCTGCTGGCACCTAGATTGTGGTCCTGCGAGCTGAAAAATGTATCTGCACGGCGCAGCTGAAGGTGGCATTGTTACACAAGTGACAGCACAGTGTGAGATTGGCTGTTCCTTTGTCTCATGTTGGTGAGTAGGGCAGGGGTTGGGCACCGCGTCTGTCAGAGTTCTAACTTGCACTTGCCTGGGTCGCAGACCAGTTGACTCAGTCTTTACTGAGTAGTAGAAGAAATTACACGTATGTGCCCTGTGCTGTTGGCGGAAAATAAGTGACAAGAATCTGGAGCAGTGGATTAACATCAAATTTTGTGTGAAAATTGGCAAAAGTGCGAGTGAAACTTTAGCTCTGTTACGCTCGGCTTTATGGTAAGAAACTAACAACTTTCTGTCTGCCCTATAGCACAAGTACTGCTACAGGGCGGCACGGATGTGCAAAATCACGTATATACATGCTTTTGCATATCTGGGTAGATGGCGTGTGCGAGCCACGACGTGCCCTATCCATGCCGCCATTCGCGGCCGTATCTGGCAATCACCGAGTCCTGGCTGGTAATTACTCGCCGATGCCTGGTGATTGCTGAGCATCTCTGGCGGGGGGAGAACTGTTTGTAAACAAAACAGTTCTCTCCCTTGTCAGCTCCTGCACACTGCTTTGCATGGCTGTGCAAAGCAGTGTGCTTACAGTGAATCACAAACACAGCCAAACAATGTAAAACAGCACACAGTTACCCTTTGATCGCTCCAGATGTTAACCCCTTCCTGCCCAGTGCCATTAGTACAGTGTCTGTGCTTTTTATTAGCACTGATCACTGTATTGGTGTCACTGGGGATGTCAGTGACACCAAGTCAGTTCCCCCAAGTGTCAGAATGCCTGCCACAGTCCTGCTATAAGTCGCTGATCTCCTACATTACTAGTAAAAATAAACAAAATCCCCGTAAATTTCATTTGGGTGCAGCGTTGCATGACCGCACAATTGTCAGTTAAAGTAACCCAGCGACGTAACGCAAAAAATAGCCTGGTCAGGAAGGGGGGTAAATCCTCTGGAGGGCAAGTGGTTAAAGCGGAACTTCACTCTCTCAATCAACATGGACTAGTTTTAATCCTATCCATTCTTAATGCTAGCATAAGTAATTGGATAGGAAAGTATATTATATTTACATGTTTGAAACTTTTTTTTATACACATTTCTTCAGTTACTTTTTGGTTTCCTTGCATAGACAAATGATATCATACATCCCAGGAGTCTTCAGGAGAGGAGGGAGGGTTCTCAGCTCAGCTTATGCCTGAACTAAGGGCAGATCATGAATTCCAGGAAGTAAATGCTACATGAATCATCTGCCCTTACTCAAGATGGCTACTGCCAGAAATGCAAGGGGGTGTTTTTCAAAATGATTTCTCAGTAAAATAAAGCTTGTAGACTAGATGGATGGAGGAGTTTGCGTTGAGTATTAAACATGAATTAAATAGCATTTTTGGTTTGTGGTGCTTAGATACAGTGCAGTTCCTCTAGGTGGTTTTGAATGGCATAAGCGGTAGACATGTGCAGTTCGTTTTGTTCCGAATACATTTTCCGTTATTCCGAGATTCGGATGTATCCAAATTAAAATGAATCTGAAATAATGAAACAAAATTCAGCTGAAATTCGAATCGGTTCAAAAGCACATTCGAAAACAAATTAAAAAACCAATTCAAATTTGAAAACAAATGTAGAATAAAATAGAACAGAAAATAAAGAAAAAGAATAGAAAATAAAAGAATAGAACAGAATACAGTAGAAAATAATAGTGTAAAACAGAACAAATTATAATAGAAAATAAAGGAATAGAAAAGACTAGAAACCATTAGAATAGATAGAAAAGATTAGAATAGAAAATCAAAGAATAGAACAGAAAAGATTAGAATAGAAAATCAAAGAATAGAATAGAAAATATTAGAATAGAAAATCAAAGAATAGAATAGAAAATCAAAGAATAGAATAGAAAACAATAGAGTAAAACAGAGCAAAACAGAAAAAAAATAAAGGGAATCGAATCGAATCAATTAGGCTACTTTCACATGGCAAAACCACATATGCGTTTTTACCGTGCTTTCTGAGCGGTTTTTTTAAATGACATGTGACTTAAGAACTGCACCAAAAATGCTTCTCAGAGGCATTTTTCAGGTGCTTTTTATTGATTTCAATGGGAAGAGGTGTTTTTGAGGTGTTTTTTTTTAACTGAACAAACATGCTCCAAAAACGCTGCAAGCACGAGTTTTTACACTGCAACAGAAGCGCAATGCCCCAGTGTGAAAACATAAATAGACAAACATGGGGAAGTGTTTTTGAGCTTTTCAAGTGCTTTTTTTTAATGCAACAATGCTTCAAAAACTCCTCAGTGTGAAAGAAGCCTAAGAATAGAATAGAATAGCTTAGAACAGGATAGAATAGAAAATCAAAGAATAAAATTGAAAAAGAATAGAAAAGATTAGAACAGAGAATCAAAGAATAGAATAGTGTAGAAAAACAATAAAATAGAAAGAATATAACTGCCTTCCAAAATTAGAATTTTGAATAAAATGAATTTGAACAGAATACATTAGAATAAAATAGAAAATAATAGAAAAGAGATTAGAAAAATACTTTACAAAAAACTGTGAGCTGTGCTATGGTGACATGAGTAGTGATCAACAAGGGCACTGTGAAAATTTTGCTGAAATAGAAATTTCCAGTATGGCCACGGAGCTCTTCATGTAGCCCACATACCATCAAAAACACATATGGATTGTGGATTATGGATTGTAACGTTAGAATTATTTTTGAATCCGTTCGAATTCGAATAAACAAAACAAATTCTGAAAAACGAATTAAACAAATCAAATTAAACAAAATTAGTCAAATAACGAATCGAAACGAACGTAAACAAAGCGAACATTTTCATTTTGCACGTCTAATAGGCGGTTTCAAGAGGGGCGGGAAGATGTCCATGATGATGCAACAAGTAGGCAAATACCAATGCAGGCCCATGGAATACAATGCACAGGCATGCTTCATACTACACGTTTACGTGTGAACTGTCCATGAGGAAAGTCTCTCACACGCATATACTGCCCTATGACCTGCGCACTGGACACTCATGTATTCCCCTGACAATAGCTGAGTCAAGTCTCTCAGGAAGGGCAGTGATTGGCTCTCTGTGTATTGCACGTTAGGAGGACGCAGGTCGTCTCACTACTATCAGGGCACATGACAGAACTGAACGTAATAGGACAGGTGACGGCAGAGCCAGTCATGTGACTATGGAGGAGAAGTGGGCGGAATCTCCAGGGCGACAGGAACGTCACGGGATGGGAGGGGCTGTTGCGGGACGGAGGGCTGGTCACGTGGTGGGGCGAAGTAGTGCAACCGGTTCCTGGTTGCAGAGTGAATGAGGAAATAGAACGAGCGGCCGCAGCCATGGCCTCCCTGTTCAAGAAGAAGACGGTGGACGGTGAGTGTGCGGACATTACATACCGCCGGACATTGTTTGGAGTGTACACTGTCTGGGACAGCTCCTGGGTGGCGGCAGGTGGCCCTCCTTCCTTCCTGAGGCCATTGGTCTGGGCACACCGGACTGATGTATGCTTTGCTGGCCCTCGGGTGTAGGTCACAGAGACTAGGCCTCACTGCTTCTCAGATGTTGGGATGTATAGGACGTGCTGGGACTTGTAGTTCCATGTAAACCTCTGCCTAGGTCGATCAGTGTGTAGAGCAGATTTTTGCTACTTCAGATCCCCCCATCATCCCTCCCTCCACAGCCTCTGTCTGTCTGGGCCTTTCACTGCCCCCCCCCCCCACCACGATCTTCAGATGATCCCTCATCTCGTCATGACAGCCCTCGTTGTCACTGCCCTTTTATCACATTGGTGTTTGAGATACACCCTCCTGGGACTTTACTACAGAGGGATAATGGTCTACCTGGGACTTGTAGTTCAACAGCAGTACAGCCCCAGATTACCTGTGTACCCCTCCTACCTCCACACCCCCTGGAGCCCGCTGTCATAGCTGCACCTGGATGCTAGCCCCCCCCCCCCCCCCCCTCTCTCTTTCTTCTTTGGATCATCTCTCCTTATTCTTTTCCTGGTGTCCATACCATATTCACATCTGCCATTCTCCTCTTCTCTGAATGCCCCCCCCCCCCCCCCCCCCCCTTTCCAGTTTCACTGTTTGTAGAAAAGCTCTACCCCTCTTGTTTACAATGGTTAATGGCCCAGGTTAACTATGTAGCCCACTATTTTCCCTGCAGAGTCCACCTCCCCTCCTGACTTGTCTGCTTGTCCATACCTGGACCCGGCTGTCACAGCTTCACCTGGATGGCAGACTTAGATGTCACTTATTCCCCGTCCTCATCTCCTTCCCCCTCTTCTCTCTGTCCTCTTCTTTCTATTGTGCCTTGTTCTTTCCTCTCTTCTTTCTTTCTCTGTCCTGTTCTCTTTTCCATTTTCTCTCTGTCCTGTTGTCTCTTTCAGTATCTGTGTCCTTCTCTCTGTCCCCCATTCTCCTTTTCTATGTCTCTCACATTCTTTCTATCTCTTGTTGTGTATCTCTCTCTATGTCTTTTCCCTTCTTCTGTTGTGTGTGTTCTCCTTTTCTATGTCCTGATGTCTCTCTCTGTCCTGCTATCCCTCCTCTTTCAATCTCTGTCCATCTATCCCCCAACACACACACACCTGCTATTCCTCCCCCTTCTCTTTCTGTCTGTCTTTCCTGCTCTCTCTGTCTGTCCTGCTTTCTCTCTCTCTGTGTCCTGTTCTCTTCCCCCTGTTCCCTCTATCAGGTGTCCTTTTTTTCTTCTGGATGTCCCTCCTTATGCCTTCCCTGATGTACACATTATTGCTCAATGTTACGTCCCCCAATCTTACATTTCACTACTTTAAAAAAACAAAACTCCAGTCATTTATCAATTTGCTCATGCACCATAATTCTATACATATTTTCTGATCCTTCATACCTTTTTTTTCTATACTGCCATTGTTATAGTATCCTTTTTTTGCCAGGACTGTGTTCTTCTCCTCTTATCTATAGATGTCATTGTGTATGTCACTTGTTCTGTCTGAGTGTCTGTGTCTCTGTCTGCTCAGTCCTCCTCTCCTCTTATTGCTGCAGTGTCTACATGTCTTATTTCCTAAACATACCTCTCCTATTGTTGGATGCTTTGTACACAAATCTGCAAATCATACCAGGTCCTGTCTTCTAGCAGCTCTTCATTACTTGCTGTGAGGACTCTGATCTGTGACACAGATATTCTGACTTTGTGTTTTTGCCCCATAAATGTCTTTTAGAAGTTTAGGAATATATGCTGAAGACATGACTGACTGCTAGATCTGCCCTGCTGTGCATGCATTCCCTGATAGGATAGTAACAGTGTCATCAGAGGCTTTCCTCCTGGAGGAGATGATTTTTTTACTTCTGTGTGAAGTGAATTAAATATTAAACCTGACTATACTTTGCCTACAGTGATTAATGGCTTGGTTGGGTATCAACTTTTTTTTTCTTTTTGCTATGCAAATATTAATGCTTGTTATTACTTTGCGTTCGTTTCTATGTTTAGAAACTTCCCATGGAAGATCCCAATGATTATTTACCCACGTGACACGGCGTATGACTCGAAACCGATGTCATGGCGTATCAGGTGATCACAAGGGGTTGGGTTAGAGAAGCTGATTCATGGACTGAGTCATAGAGCGTTTTTTTTTTTTTTTTTGGTTCCACTATGATCGTGTTCATTGTTACAGAAGTGCTAATCTCTCCACTTGTAAACAGAATAGTCATTGTAATGCTGAACTCCTTGTGGAAAAACTATTTACTTTCCTCTGAGTTTATTGAAATGTATTTTATATATATATATATATATATATATATATATATATATATATATATATGGCTTTGAACAAAAATGAAACTTTACACAAATACACTGAGAAAAAACATTGAGCCCTTTATTGTAACCGCAAAGAGCTATTACTTACAGAAATCGTATTGCTTTGTTGTTGCTGCTTTCTCCTGCCAAAACATTAACTCTTGAAATGCTTGCAGTTTTATTGTTACTCTTTTGTACCATTTTATTAAGGCTAGATTTCCATCTTACATTTTGGGTAGATGCGTCCTTCAATGAAATCAATGGAAAACGCAGCTTAGCTCATGCCTTAAAGACTAGTGTCATGACGTTGATACATGTAAATGCACCATGACATGCAAGAACTAATATAGATGTGCGTTATGACACACATTGACATCAAGTACAATTCATTGCAACATACATTGAAGACTCTCTTTTACGTCTTTTGATGTGCTTCCATTGAAATCAGTACAAATGCGTCAAAACACATCTCGGGACATGCCTTAAAGTATATGTAAACTCTCACCTTGAAACAACCTATTCAGTTTGAAATAGCAATGAAAGTCAAATAATTTGTGTATACGTATAAAAACATAATAAATATATTTGTTTCCATTTTGTACAAGTGGTCACATACCCTCTGTTTTCAGCTGCACAAGAAGTTTAGAGAACTGTGGGAAGAGAAACTGCAGGACACTGATCTCCCCATTGAATGGCTGTGCAGGGGGCACATGTTATGAAAAGTCTCATCATTGGAGGAGAGCATACTGAGTTCCCAGCACATCATTGGAGGAGAGCATACTGAGTTCCCAGCACAGCTAGAGAAGTGACCACACTGTGCTCTCATGCCTAGTGTGGTCAGTTTTTAATGGAAAAGCAGATGGACTGGCAGGAACACCAGGGATTTTACACAAAGGAAGCAATACAAAGAGAATATGATACTTTTTCATACAAGTACATGGTACAGTAGGCACATATCAGGAATATGAAATGTTGAGTTTGCATATTCTTTAAAAAACGTATCATGGCTCACGCCAACGTTTAATAAAGTACATAAATGCACCATGATATGTGTGAGCCACAGTTGATGTGCATTGATATCCTGAACAGTGCATTAAAACGCACATTGAAAATGTACGTTGACATGCAATTTATTGCCCTTTTATTGAAATCAATGGAAAAGTATCAAAACCCCATCTTGAAGCATGTCATTACACAAGTTGACTCTTCATAATGCACATTAGGGCACCATGGCATGCATCAGGTTATGTTGATGTGCTTTATGAAGCCTTTCGCATCCAAAACAATGTGTTGCAGCACATGTTCAAAATGTGTGATGTGTTTAATGTGCACCAACATGAATCTTGATGTGCTTCCATTGATTCCAAAGGAAAACGCATCAGAGGGAAAAATGCATTGGTTTGAATTCAACCTGACTGACTAAATAATACATTTTACATTTCTATTCTTTAAACAGTATAAGAAAACTCATTTTCTGTGAACTAGTTTAGATTTGCGTAAAGTCCTCTGTAATTTGTCATTGGAATATACTTGTGTACAGATGAGAGAAAATGAATTTAGAAATATCTTGTTGGGGATCATGAAAGTGTTGTAGTACATGGCAGACAGGAATAAATGTGAGTTCAGGGACCCATTGTGAGTGATAGCATGGTCTATATATGCTGCAAACTGTCCTGACCACATTACCTGGATTACAGTGTTAGTTCTGTGGAATAGTAATAGTGACGTTCCCCTGGCTGCTCCCTCTTGTGGAATGTCTGGATTTTACGCGTTTGTGTTGCATTGCATCAAATCTGTGTCTGCTTTGTCTTCTTACTGCAGCCTATAGATATATATATGAAAAGCAAACACTGCTGTACATGTCATATGAGTGTCTTCTACAGCACCAGGCACATAGCAACACAATAAGTTGTTACAATTACATCTTGGCGACTAGGGAAGAATAAGTCACTCTGTACTTTGTGACATATTTGTCATGACAGGGTGACAAAGCTAATTAGTAGCACAAGCTGTATTCCATCTCTGCGATATTGTGGCTAGACCTGGTCCCTGTGGTGCCATACTGAATTTTATTAGACTGGCAAGTGCTAGGGAACTCTGAGCTTGTCAGATAATTTAGCATTGTGGAGAATGGAAGGGGAAGTATTTGTACTTTGTTTTCTGTGAGTCCAAAAGTTCTTTGTGACTGTGTAAGACAAATACGTTGGTTGCTGCTTTTTCAATATGAGTGAAAATGAATATATGAAAACAGAATTGTGATTTTAAAATATGAGACAATGGCTCATAAAATATATTTTAACTTCCATATTCCTGGGGTGTAAGCATTGGAATCTTATCCAAGGAACTGTGGTAGACTGAAAACCAAATGATAACTGATTTTATCAGACAGTCCACAGCTCTTAGATCTCTTCCTTGTTTAAATGAAGGTAAAAATGTGTTGTTTTTTTTTTTTTTTTAAATACATATATATATATATGCACTATATTGCCAAAAGTATTGGGACACCCCTCCAAATGATTGGATTCAGATATATAAAATTGATCACCTAGGCATGCAGACTGCTATGAACATTTGTGAAATAATGGGTCGCT